CACAGACGGCAGGCGGGCACAGAGACGGCAGGAGGGCACACAGACGGCAGGCGGGCACACAGACGGCAGGCGGGCACAGAGACGGCAGGCGGGCAGACAGACGACAGGCAGGCAGAGAGACGGCAGGCGGGCACACAGATAGCAGGCAGGCACACAAATGGTAGGCGAGCACGCAGAGAGACGGCAGGCGGGCCGACCCCAGACCCCGCCACTTACTTCGGGCTTCTTTAAAGACCTGCAGGGCCTCGGGGTCCACCTTCCTCCGGCCCCTCGACTCTGGGCCCAAGGACTCCCACTTCACCAGGCTCAGGTTGGCTCCGAACTCCACCAGCAGGCTCACAAAGGCCGCCTCGCAGCCGTGGCGCAGGACAGCGTCCATGACGCAGCCAGGCGAGCCCCGGTAGAAGCCCTGTGTGTTGACAGGGCCGTTGCAGTTGAAGTCGGGGTTCGCCCCCGCCTGGAGGAGCAGCTTGAAGCACTGGAGGTTGTGGTAGGCTGCACTGATGTACAGGGGGCAGACCACCAGGGAGGTGAGCCGCCGGGAGAAAGGGGGCCGGACCTCAGGAGTCAGGTGGTGGTTGACGTCAACGTCGGCCCCGTATCTGGGGGGGGTGGGAACACAAGGAATCAGACCTGGCACGGGGCTGACCCCAGTCAACTAGGGTCCCCACGGCACCCTGCAGAGATGGGTGAGCAACGGCACCACTACAGACGCCCTTACTACCCAAAACACCCGAGGACTGGAAACAAGCCACGTGCCCGGTGTGAAGGAGGACGACACAGCTGTGAGAAGGAATGCCGGCAGACCGCCTGAAAGATCTCCAGAACACATCATGAGTGAGAAAGGAAGGTGCTGGAAGAGTGCCTGGGGTGCTCTACTGCTGACCTCGAGGAAGGAGGCCGCAGTACATACGTACATTACACACACAGACGCGTACGTGTTTGCCCGCTGTTTAACCATGAACGTGAATGACTGTCCACAGGAGAGGAGAGAACGGGATGAAGGGAGCAGGCATAGAAGGAAGACAGCTTTTAACATGTCTTGTTTTACAGACTTGACTCATGAAAATATTTTATGTAGTGAAACAAGATTAAGTAATGAAGCAATCCCTAAAAATTGAAAGCAAAGTGAAACAGAGGAGCCCAGTGGTGCCAAGAGACAATGCACGTCGGGTGGCTGTCCTTCTAGGTGCCACTGCGCTCCAGACTCGTGCTCAGGAAGCACAGCACAACAGCAGCACCCTCCTCGGTGGCAGGACTCACAACAGTCCACTAGGTAGTCCACACGGCTGTCCAACTGTCCTCTTTTGACCCCCACGTGATCGCCCAGACGTGAGGAAACGAGCCTCGCCTTGGGCAGGTGCTGAGCTGCCTGACTCAGAGACCTCATTCTCCACCAGAGGCAATATCTCCAGAGACTCTACAGCACAGCTGTCAGGCTCCTCACAGGGCTGCCGGTCACTGCGCCCAGCAAAGCCCAAACACGTGGCTTCCTATCAGGCACTGAGGATTCCCTGGGTAGCACAACAGTTAAGCACTCAGCTACTACCCGAAAGCTTGGCAGTTCAAATCCATCCAGAGGAACTCTGGAAGAAAGTCCCGGCGATCCACTCTTGAAAGATCACAGCCATTGAAAACACTATGGAGCACAGCTCTGCTATGACACACGTGGGGTCACCATGAGTTGGAGGGGACTCAACAGCAACTGGTTTGCCTGTTCTGAATCAGGCATTTACAGAATTCTCTCAGCCCAAACGCAAACCATCCATCAGGGGTTACTTCTACTCCAAGCAGGGGTCGGCACCACGGCAGGGGGCGCAGCCTGACTCAAGCGTCAGTCTTGGCAAAGTGGGGAGGGAGACTGTGACGGACAGCTGCCTGGCATGGCGCTCCATTAGGGCCCAAGAGGGTGAGGAGAGCATCCATCCAAGGGAGGAAGGCCGTGTAGCAGGAAATACTTACTCATGTCAAAGCAAAGGGGAGCTGGGTTTCTTGCTATGGGAAGAGAGAGTAATGAATGTGGAACAGCAGAAAACGAGGATGAATCCTGTGTTACGCTGGATTGGAGGCTACTGATGTGAACTCGTAACTATCAATATATCTCGACACAGAAATACAGACATAGCATATGTATGCGTGCAGCCTGAGCTCTGCCCACCAAGAGGGCCTGGAAACAGCGATGCCCCGAAAGCAACAAGCACTCCTAGTGTCCAGATCTTGGTTTCTAAGTACCATTCTCCACTAAAAGAAACCAGGATTCCTTGAGAAATGACTTATCTTAGGGCCGAGACAGGCAAAATTCAAGATGAGCCTAGAATACCTTGTCGCATGAGAAAGTAAGGAAGTGCTCAAACAATAATGGGAAAACATCAAAGCACACAGAGCTGGCTTGAAGGGGCTCCCAGTGGCCAACTCTGAGACAGCTGGAGCAGCTAAATAAGTAACTAGGAGTTTACACTAACATAAATGAGTGAATTTAAAACCTGAGGAACAGCACATTTGCAGAGGATGCAGAGTACCTCTCCACAAAATACTCATTAATTACAGAGGGGAAAACAGTAACTTACAGCAGAGAAGCCTGGCACACACCACCTCAATCAAAAGATCAAAGTGAGCAACATCAGTCATGGGACAAACTGAAATCATGTCCCACCTGATGGGACATGATGGCAAGAACACAGGCCCACTTCTGTGTGGCTCCCGCCAGGTGACAGTGTCTGAATCTGAGTAAACTTTAGACAGATCCAAACTGACCAACATTCTCCTTAATAAGTTGCCTGTAACTAATCTTCAAAGTGTCCAGACCAGACCACGAAAGCCCAGGAAAAGCACTGCGGAGCACTCCAGAACGAAGGAGACGTGACACTGATGGCGTGTGCTGGCACACCTAGGGAAAGTGAAACGGGGTCAGGGAGCAGCCTCCGACGCTGCACCATTCCCGGGACCTTGTAGGAACGCCACGAGAAGCATGCTAAAACACAGGTGAACCAAGCAGAAGCTGATACGTCATTTCACACAATCGACCTATCAAGAAAAGGAGAACTGGATGATTAACAGTGGGGTTTTTTTGGTTTTTTTCCCCCTTTCTTTCTCCTTATTCTTGGAGGTATGTCTTCCAAAATGTTTGCAATTTTGGGCAATATGACAATCTGGTATTAGCTGCGCTGTGGGAAAGACAGCCCTCCATCCACTCATAAAAACATGCTAGATGGGATCCAGTTCATTTCAATTCTGAATATTTTCCAAAATCCCCCTATCGCTTTTAATATTGCTGGCAAGGAACCGCTGGGGACAACTAAGTAAATCCGTGTAACTTTTGCACATGCAGAGACACCACCCCTTACCTAGAAACTCAGAATACAGAAACCTTTCCGGAAAGTAACAGATGGCCTTGTTACCTCATTGTAAAAGTGATGCCCTGTGTCTTCTCCAGAAGGGCATCTGTGGAGTGAATGTAAAGCAGCTGTGCATCGCGAACTGACTGAGGTGCCCAAAGGGATTTCTGGAACCGAGCCGAAGTGAAGGTTCACAGATCGATCCTACTCAAAAAACATTGCCAAATTAACAACTCACATTCTCCGAGGGGCAGATATGGACTGAGGAGGCTTAGATTAGTAGACTAACCACAAATCAAAACAAAACCCATTACTGTTAAGTCAATTTCAACTCACAGGACCCTACAGGACAGAGCAGAACTGCCCCATAGGGTTTCCACGGAGCAGCTGGTGGATTCCAACTGCCGACCTTTCCGATAGCAGCCGAGCTCTTAAAAACTGCCACCACCAAGACGCCTTCTCATAACAGAAATCACTAAGGAGAAAAAGAGCTTCACCGGCTGACATCAAAGTCGGGAAGCCCTGTGGCACAGTGGTCAAAGCGCTCAGCTGAGAACCAAAAGGTCAGTGGTTCGAACCCACCAGCCGCTCCGCAGGAGAAAGATGTGGCGGTCTGCTTCCATGAAGATTAACAGCCTTGGAACCCTATGGGGCAGTTCTACTCTGCCCTATAGAAATATTGAATATACCATGGACGACCAGAAGAATGAACAAATCTGTCTTTGAAGAAGTGCAGCCAGAATGCTTAGAAGTGAGGATGGTGAGATCTCATCTCATCTACTTTGGACATATTATCAGGAGGGACCAGTCCCTGGAGAAGGGCATCATGCTTGGTAAAGCAGAGGGTCAGCGAAAAAGAACAAACCCCTCAGTGAGACGGACTGACAGTGGCAGCAACAGTGGGCTCCAGCGTAACGACGACTGCGAGGGTGGTGCAGGACCGGGCAGGGTTTCGTTCTGGTCTACACAGGGTCACCGTGAGTCAGAACAGACTCGATGGTACCTAACAACAACAGAGGGTCACTGAATCGACTGGACGGCAGTGGGTTTGGTTTGTTTTTCACGTAAAAATCTTATTACTCTCATTTATCTTCCCCAAAGCTAATGCCACACCCACTTCACGTTTCAAACCTTTGGATGGGATAATACACTCTCAGCGCCTAACTGAAGTCCATGCTCTGCGCTAGGCAGGGGGGTGCCAGCCCTCTGCTCACCGGAAGCATCCCGGCTGCAGCCTGTAACTACAGAAGCCTACCAAGTCCTTTTCAGCACTGTGCACCAGCCACCTACACTGCGTGCTGTGCGGCCACAGAAGGGTTTGGCCTCCAGAGTCTGGGAAGAAACAAAAGCATCTTTGCCAAAAGGAAGTCACTAGAGACAGAACAAAAAGACAATTCAGTTCAAAGAAAAAGATACAGGTGATCATCAGAATAGTTAAAATTAAGCCATTAACCTTCTGAAAGAACAGAAGGGGAGAACAAAGAAAACACACATCGTGGAACAAAGATATAAAATAAAGGAAATACTAAGAAACAAAAAGATGGCTGAAACAGGCCCGCCATCAGCTCTGGCAATAACGTCAACTGCATTAAAACACAGATCGCGGAAGGTCAAATAACAAAGGTGAGCCCACATAACAGGACTTCGGCCACAAAGAGCAAAACTACTCCTCACAAGATGCTATGCACATCAGCCTCGCACGATACCAACAGGAACTTTCTCTTTGGATAACTGGTGTTATGGCTGAGCTGTATCCCCCAAAAGGTTGAAGTCCTAACCCCCAGTACCTGTGAACATGACCTTGCTTGGAAACAAGGTCTCTGAAGATGTTAGTGGTTAAGGGTCCTGACCCATTCCAAGTGGTGTCTTGTAACGGGGGAGAAGAGACCCAGAGTCAGAGGACAGACTCCAGGCGAAGATGCGTCTATGAGCCGGGGAGTGCCCGGGGCCACCAGAAGCTAGAGAGACGAGAAAGGATCTTCCCCTAGAGCCTCCACAGAGAGCATGGCCCACTGACACCCTGAATCCAGACTCCAGAACTGTGAGACAGGACATTCCCGTATTGTCCTAGGAAACTAAGGTACTGGGCACGGTCCATAAGCAAGAGCTTTTATGAGCTCAATCAGAATCAAAACACACAAGGTGAAAACTGCTAGAAACACACGGGGAGACAGAGTCCAACACTGACTAGAGACTAGCACGCGCTCTGAATCTGGGGCAGAAGAAATGGGCAAAACGTGTTTGAAAAGACAGAACTGGGATAATATTTTTTAGGCTAATTTATTATACTCTGCAAATAAAGCACCCATGGGTGTGTGTTTTGTTTCAAGCACCCACAACAATGTATTCTGACTTTAAAAAATAAAAACGCAAAGAGTCTCCAAAACGGAAACCAGATGGTCCAGATTCTCTGAGCACAATACAATACAATCAGGAATTTATAACAATTTGTATTAAAACTTTCTCCTCCTTAACTGTAAGGACAAAAAGGAAATTGACTTCAATTATAGCTATTGAAAAAATAAAGAAAAAATCTTAAGAGGATATGGATAAAGCTAGCCTCAAAGGTATGTTAATGACTTTCAAAGTTTACATTGTTAATAAAGAAACAAATGAAGCAAGCATTCAACTCAAGAAGCTAGAAAAAACACAGTAAAGTAAAATTAAGGAAAACAGGAACAAATAAGGATAAAAACAGACAAATGAATCATTAAAAAATACTAGAAGTGGTAGATAAAGCTAAAAAATAGCTCTCTGAAAAGACTAACAACCAGATCCCCTAAGGAACCTAATTTTCAGGAGAAAGAGGAAAGCAGCAACTACAGACAACAGGGAGAGAAAAAGCAGCTGTGGGAAGCGGGACTGGTGTGCCACCACCTCCACAGTGGGCATGGGCCACATGGGGCACGCGGCCAGCGCAAGGCAGTGACGCCGGTCAGGCCCAGGCGTACTGACCTGATGAGCGCCTTCAGGATGTCGGCCCTGCCCACGCGCGCGGCATGGTAGACGGGGGTGCTGCGGTGGTGCCGGCTGCCGTTGGGGTCTGCGCCAGCTTCCAGGAGGATCTGGGCGCTCTCCAGGTGCCCGTTCACCACAGCCACGTACAGGGCGGTCTGCCCCTTGACGTCCACCAGGTCGACCTCTGCCCCCTTGCGGATGAGGAAGTCCACACAGTTGCCATGGCCGGCGGTGGCCGCGATCCGCAGCGGTGTGCAGGGGAGCCAGCCGCAGCACCAGACGGACTTCTCATTGATGCGGCTGCAGAAAGAACACAGGAGCAAGGCTGTGAGGTCCGCCCCGGGACTCAGAGCAGCTGCTCTGTCTCCTCTCACACTGGTGACGAGAAACAAAGACCAGGAGGCTTCCACCTGGGCCCTGCTTTAGGATACCCTCTTGCAGGGTCACCTTGCTGAGTGTGCCCTCAGCAGGCAGGCATCACGAGCCCCCTCTCCAGGCTCACCTCGCTGAGCATGCCCTCAGCAGGCAGGCAGGCAGGCAGGCATCACGAGCCCCCTCTCC